GCTGAACTTCGAGTGCGGTTGCTCGCTATACATTTCATAACACAATGATATTAAAAATATCCATAATTTATTTCAACTAATCAGAGCGAGGCAGTTACAGCAATAATAAGTGAGATATACACATTTGTACATTCGTCCATTCTCCTCTGAAACATCGTATAGTGTCGATATGTCGGGCGGAAGCACCGTGGGCATTCTTACATCGCGAGATGGAAAGCACAAGACGCATAACGGCCGAGGACATGTGTATGTATGTACAATCGATGGGACCAGTATATACGTGTGGTCAAATTTGCAATGTCCGTTACTTGCAAGATTTGGCAAGATTCCAGTCGATCGTAGTTATACTTAATCTAACCGTACAATATTGATTTCTTACGTAACGTCAACGTTACGACCAAACATTATGCGTCATACGTATCACAGTTTGGCATCCAAAAAACTCAATCGACATTACATAAAACTTGTAACTTGTTCCATTCGATTCGTCTTATGCGATAAGTAAAAGGTATCTCGAAGAAGTTTAGAAGACGTCCTAATCACGACGCCAATGAAATTTCAGATGTTAGATTGTTGCTCCAGATCGATTTAAATGTCTTTTTAGAATTGTCTTCTTCTGTTATTCCAGACGATATTAATTCGCCCTATTTAGAAATGTCTATAATGCCTGATTTGCTAATAGATCTATCTCTTTAAACGCAATTATACATTACATGTATATACGATTCTAAGAAGTTTAAGTCAGTTAATATAACTTGATGATTATCTTTACATTTTCTCGTTCGTTATTAAGATATATTGGTCAGATACACTAGATGTCACTAGACTATCCGTCTCAACAAGTTAAATAATAACGTGAACGTTTCGCAAAACGCGAAAAATTAAATATATTCTTATTTTCGTCCCCTAGGAATGTATATCTAGTACAGTTATCATTAGTGAGCGTTTGATGGAGTTGCCTTCGTAGCCTCCAGAGCTTCTTGTTGGTACTGATACCTGAAACAAATGTTGATTCGGTAAACTCTCGGAGTAAAAAGCACTCAGCGATTGAAACAACATCGTGTTCTGTGACATTAAGCAAGATAAATAATGCAAGACGTCGCGCGCAAATGAAACAAAGAAGCTAGCAGACTCGCTTGCTTAACTAATTCCTCTTGTAGCGTTAAAAGTTTTACAGAAACGCGTATAAAGATAAACGAGAAACCTCGTTTCTCTTACGTACATAAGATTTATTAGATGAAAACGAAATAGAGATAATAAAAATAATGCTCAGGAAACATGGTGCTTATATAAAACTCTCGAAATAAAAATCTCAAAAAAATGCGAATTTATCAAACAAAATTTATAAATGGTGCAATTTAAGGAGGAACTGAGGGACGGATCAGCTACATCAAAAATGAATAAATATAATACATTTCGAGATTCAATAACGTAACAGATCCGTTAACTTCCTCTTTAAGACACGTATCGAGATATGATATATTCACCTCAAAGCTCTCGTAATTTGGTATATAGCCGTAAACGCGACGAAGAGGTTCACGCTAAAAAGGCTCCAATTTCTTGGGATGATGACTAAAGAATATCTGGTCCAGATCAACCCCGTAATGCCCAAGGCACCAGATTGACTGACGGAGATCTTCTCCGCTGGCCTTCGTAGATCACCAAGGCCGGCAATGACGAGCCCCTGCAGATTGCATAGCAGACTCGCTTGCTTAACTAATTCCTCTTGTAGCGTTAAAAGTTTTAAACGAGAAACGTTAAAACGAGAAACCTCGTTTCTCTTACGTACATAAGATTTATTAGATGAAAACGAAATAGAGATAATAAAAATAATGCTCAGGAAACATGGTGCTTATATAAAACTCTCGAAATAAAAATCTCAAAAAAATGCGAATTTATCAAACAAAATTTATAAATGGTGCAATTTAAGGAGGAACTGAGGGACGGATCAGCTACATCAAAAATGAATAAATATAATACATTTCGAGATTCAATAACGTAACAGATCCGTTAACTTCCTCTTTAAGACACGTATCGAGATATGATATATTCACCTCAAAGCTCTCGTAATTTGGTATATAGCCGTAAACGCGACGAAGAGGTTCACGCTAAAAAGGCTCCAATTTCTTGGGATGATGACTAAAGAATATCTGGTCCAGATCAACCCCGTAATGCCCAAGGCACCAGATTGACTGACGGAGATCTTCTCCGCTGGCCTTCGTAGATCACCAAGGCCGGCAATGACGAGCCCCTGCAGATTGCAAAAGAAATAATTTACATAATATCTTATAATCATCGCATTGTTCTTTTGCTTAAAAAAAAAAAAAAAAGTGAACAAGAAACGAATCTTAAGCATTATATGATGCGGTATCATTTTAAGTTGACCGCATTTCCATTTGAATTTTATGTATTTATTTTTTTACAAGTTGGCAAACTTACATAAATAAAGAATTGTTTTCGTTACACAGTCGTCGATGTGGACAGATATAAACAGCGAGACATGGCAATCGAATAAACTTTGTTCTACGATTGATATCACGGATTTTATATTTATATTACTTTTAATTTAGCGCGATATTATAAAATGTTATTCGCCGTTAAAATAAAATGTTCAACAAGATTGGATTTTAATGAAACGCATATTTTCATTAAAAATAAAATACATATAAAATACATATGATGTATGTGCGTATATATATAAAATAATAAATATATGTATATATGTATATACATAACATATATTATTTTTAATATATATATATATATCAGAAATGCTGTAAAATTATCAAATTGCAAGAGAAATCGATATAGTACGAATGAACACAGCACTTAATTTAGAGCATTTCTGGTACACACGCCTACATTTTTGCCAATATTGCATTACGTAATTGCCTTGAACCAAAACTGATTTGTATACTAGTTACATGCAGACATGACATTATTCAATCATATAACGTTTTGTGACAACGCTTTTTTAAAAATTGGACAAATAAAAAAGTATTTCTTTTTTTTTTAGACTGAAAGAGAAAAAAATTTCAAGTGTGAAATTGAAAGCATTTATTACGAAAATCAATAATTTATATTTATATGTAACACTGTGTTTGAATCTCTGATTATTTAGATTTTTATATTTACTAGCTAATTTATCGGAATTATAACGAGTCAATAAAATTAATATATTAAAAAGATAAAAATGTATTACTAACCCATTTGAAAATCGGTGCCCAGAAGAAGATGGTCTGCGGACCTAAAAAGGATATGGCAATTAACACAAATTACAGAGAATATAGGTATCGTGACACTCTTATAATGTACAGTGCATTTAGCCAAATGTTGTGCCATGCCTTGCAACATGTTTTTCTCTCAATTATCTCTCGCGTGCAATTCTTTAAAGATTCACTCGATGTTTCGTAACGCAGCAATTTTAGCTCGAAATAATAGATAAATACAGAGAAAAATATATCCATATATAATATTCGAATATACGGTCATTGCAGACAAATATGATAATCGATGCCACGATACATTCTCGCGCGCTGCTCCGACCCTATTCGCTCTATTTATCCGAGCTTCCGCTCTAATAGCGCGAGTAAATTCGTTAGAGAGTAGCTTTAACACAGACTCGCCGAAGCCTTGTCTCCATTCATGTTGTAATTCGGTGATGATGCGACCGTTTCGGCGCCAGCGGTTTTGGCGAAAAATAGGACAACTCGACGTAAAATATCAGATTACATATACAGTTGGAAAGTTTGTGTTTTCTTGTTAAAAAATATACCGATTAAAATTTTTTGTGTTAAATATTTAACATATTCATGTACATTTAATTTAACATATTGCTGTTGTATTAATCGAACTCGAATGTTAAATTATTGAAACAACTGAAAAAAGTGTAAAAATAACACAATGTGCGTATACTTTTAGTTTTACACAATAGATATGTTCCATATTATTAGTGACAGGATTTATCTGTTCAAATTTACAGAAAAATATTGATTTTATTCTACAATAGAAGTGAGAGTGATTATAGATCGTCAATAACATTTTTCCAAGTTAATTTTAACATTAAAAATATGTTGATTTTACAGAAAATTGATTTCAAATTACTATGAAGTTTGCATTGATTTTGTGTTGAAATATTAAAATATAGTATTAGTGTTACCGTTTAACATATCCATATTAGGTTAAATTAACAAAAATTTGGGTGGATCGTTTGGAATGTGCGATATATGTATGTTAAATTAAAGCCAAATTTTCCAACAGTGTGTTTCTACTTTTGAATTTTTAAATATGAAATATATAAATGCAATTTTTATTCTTTTTAATTTAATCAAGCTAATCTATATCTTTTTTTTTCAAATAAATGATATACAGGATGTTTCAAAATTAAGCAATCAAACTTCGACAGTATGTTTTATAACTAAAAATAGGAAAAAAATGTTACATAAACATAGATCCAGAAACGTTTCATTATCATGTCATATTGAAAAAAAAAGAATTTGATCGTTTAACTTTGAAGCACCCTCTATGTTCCTCCTATCAATTAGTACTATTCGGTAATATTTTGGTTTCATCTATATCAAGAAGTGATTGTACACACGCATATCTGTGTAGAGATAAATTTGCGCAATTTGCATACCGATAAGTGTCGCGAATATATATTAAAATATCTTCAAGTACTCTCTTCAGATTGATAACATCGCGGAATCGATAAAATTCACGATGGAAAATGTGAAAGGATAAATCGCGCGAATTTATTATAATCCAGTATGCAGATATGCAAGACCTAATTTAAGAATACATCGACCTTGGAGAAAGGCAAATTGTGTGTCACCAATATCTTACGCAAGTCTCGCGCGATAATAAAAGATGCGGAAGAAACGCTTGCGTCTCACCGATCGATAAGGGAAAACGTCGAAATAAAATCGCGATTAAGTAGAGCAACATTTCCGCGTTATATTATTTCACGGGAAAAAAGAGAATACACTTTGCAAAAATTAAAAAAAAATTACCAGTCATTGCTCCCCAGATAGCATGATATATTCTTTGACTATTCTATTTAGCGTCAAATATATCAGATGTTTCAAAAGTAGAGGTCAATGGCTCGGGAAGTGATTGGGATCCAAAAACAAGAAAAAAAA